TATGCCGCACGTGGCCTTCGGTCTGAAATAAAATTGTTGCGGGTTGTAACCGCGAAACAAACTTTTTTCTCTAAAGATTTAAATTAAAGTTCTAAACGTCAAACGGGCGCTCATATTTTTATCGTAATCTCTTTACGCGTTAAACAACCGATATTTGCATTAGCGATCATATACCATGAAAAAGGCACGTGCCAAGGACATGCCCCTAATTAACAATTTATATTCCACATTAATCTGATTGTACGCTACAACTACATTGTGTGAATAATAATAAAATACTTTCGTCTCTCTCACAAACATACAGTTTATTATCCCGATATCTTAATCTCGTCTTTGTAAAAAAAACTTTAATTGCCGATGATCGGCGATACATACGAAAAGAAAATGACGGGTCGATTCGAGCGGCGCGGCGTTTCCCAAATAAAGGGTGGCGGTCGAGTTATGGGCGGGGTTCGTGTATAAAAAGGGCTGTTTATGATTTTTCTATTGAAGCGTAACTAGGTGGCACGCGAGGTGGTACGGGTAATAAAGTCCTTTACGCGACAACTAACCGCGGTGGCGGCAGGTTCAGGCCTGGGGATTCCAGGCGAGCTGCGTTTACCGTTTACTATCGGCGTTACAGCCGGTCGTACACATAAATCGCTTTACGATCTGTCGCTAAAAACGGATTTCATGCGAAAGTAGGTAGCTGCTGGTAACCGCAACCGCGCGTCGCCCATCGTGCGACTTCGTGAGAAGAAACCGCCGCATAGCAGAAGCACCAAGTCAGGGCCGTCAATATGTGCGCGGCGATTTCGCAGCATCAGGCAGAATCCGCCGATCGATCGAGGGAATCGAAACGCTTGTGTGTTGTTTCGCGCGCCGATTCGTGAAACGCTCGCGAACATTTCCATAATCACCTCGCAAACATAGGCAACGATGCGTCTCGTTGTGAAAACGAAAACGCGCGAGTGTAACAATTCCTTTGGAGAATAAAAGAACGCTCGTGTTCCACTTGGGCGCAAAACCAGTTTCCGGGTGAACGGTTTAGCAAATTCTCTTAATTTCTCCAAAGGGTTACTTGAATAAATTTCTACAATTACTATTGATAATTAGAAAAGATAGATCATCGTCGAGATAGCATAGAAATTTGTGATCGATTGTTTACTCGTCGAAGCGATATATTTTCCCATTCGTTCCAACAAGAACCGGCGCCGTTCGTCGATAGAACGAACGCGAGAGATCTCGGAAACGAGCGAAGAGCGAAGAGTAAGAGAGGAGGAGAGAGAAGTAGGGGAGTGGGACGTGAACGAAACGGAGGACAAGATGATGGATGGTCCCTCTCCACCCTTAGCTGTGCCGCGCGCGCGAAGTGAGGGCGTCCCGACGCTGACGACGATGCTGACGCTAATGAGCAAAATATGAGGCGCCACCCTGCCACCCCTTTTCCTTCCGTCTTTCCACCCTCTCTCTTTCTCGCCTGCCTCACCACCGCCTGGCCTCGCCAGGTATCGATTGTCGTTCGCTTAAAGACCAAGAAGAGGAAGAAGAAGAAGGCGTACGAGAAGGAGGATTGGTTTCGTTTCGGAGAAAACGCGAAAACAAGACGATCTATCCGTCTGATTACTCGCACCGTCCTCTTTTCCTTCCGCGATTCCTCGCGTATATATATATATATTCTCGGTTTGTCTACGTGCATTTACCGTATCTTGATCGCCGTCGCAGTTGTCCCTCCTCGGGGCTGACGATAAATAATGACCCCGAGCAAAATCCCAGATACCGAGAGGAATCTTTGTTTCGTTCGGTTCTCCCGGATAAACATTGTTGGTATGCGGTATGCCGCGTTTCGTGAAATATCGTCGACAACGGGATTGTATTTTCGCGCGACTGTAAAATATGTTAATGAGAGAACCACGAAGATATGTCGGGGAAAAAGCGAACGACTGTACGTACGATCGTGTTACGCCGAAATGTCATTTATCATAAAAGAAGCAAAAATTAGTATCATCGATAATAGGAATAACGAGCGATAATACGCACACCGGATTTGGCTGCTCTTCGTTCGTCACTTCAGCAACATTACCACCGTCAGCATTACCACCGCGTCGCCGTGGGGTTAGTGCCGGATGTCCACACTCGTTTTTACCGCGAACGAGATGCTCCGACGACGAAAAAGGGACCCGTTTAATTTCATTTCACCGGCACCGCCCTTACTCTCGACGCCCGGAGCGACGAGGTACCGCGAAAAAGAAACTCTTCGACGTTTTACGAGCGAGAGACTTCCACCACGTTCCGCGCTAACCTCTCGACGAAAGGGATCTCGAAAATGCTTATCGTTCGCATCATCCGCGATGCGACCCTTCGTTAAATAGCTCCGATATTTGGAGGCTGTATTAATCGCGCGGATGATGACTCACCTTCGGAAAATTCGGATTAAAAAAAAAAAATAAATAAAATTCTGTAAAAAAAAAAAAAAAGAACATTATATACTCTTCGTCGTAGGATTAATGACCGCACCGGATATTTTTAATCTTGACGAGGAACGGATGAGTTAGGAAAGAAACTTGGCAACTATTCGTAATGCAAATTCTCTTCGTCTTGCGCGTCTCCGCTTCTTTTATTGGGTCACTCCATTTTTGTGGTAACGATCCCGTTTCGGTGTCACGCCTACCACCACCACGACCGAGACGCAGAAGAAAGGTTTTTGCAGCGCGGCGAGAACCCGCTCGCAGCCTCGTTAGAAATTACCGTGCAGCCCATCCTTCTCGCCGTTAATGAAAGCCGGGTTCTATGCGGCGAAGATTATTCGCGGTTTTTACACGCCGAGGCCATTCAACGCACAGGCGAAGACGCGCAGCGTCTCCTCCTGGTTCATAGGAGAATGCAGAGGACTGGCAAAAGGTGGAGAAAGAGAGAACGAAGAAGAGAGAGAGAGAGAAAGCGACAAGGGAAGACTAATTAATTTGGCAAATCATCGCGTCGCAGTGTAAACAGGGTGGTTCGATCTGTCTTTCCCGCACAAAGGGGGTGTCGACCGGAATGAACAAGGGCGATGGCGGGGGTGGGCGCGGGGGAAAATTCGCCCGCTAGCTCGCGAGGGTGATATCAAAGGGGAAGACGAGGGATATCAATCCCCGGAGAAGCCACGGACTCAGCCTCCGCCGACTATAGCCGACGCTTCCGCAGTTCTCAACCGCGAAATCCTCCGTTCGAAATTTATCGCCATCGTAACCGAACACTTCCTTCCCCGTAAGCTGGTCCCTACAACGTGCGTCGAACTTTCTCCGTGCTTTTCCAAAACGACTGATGGATCATCTCTCCCCCTTCGTTTCTCTCTCTCTCTTTCTTTTCACCGAATAGTATTTATATATATATATAGAGCCACATTTATATACATCTGGCTTTTGATGGTTTCCACGCGAAACGTTAAATCTTCCCGCGAGTGAAAAACTATCGGATAATCCAAAAGTAGTTTCGCCCTTACCTTAGCCAGACGTCTCGCAGATGATAACCCCGACTTTTCACTCCGAACGTCTTTCCGTAGTGGGAAGAATAAATCATGTGGAACAAACGAGATGATACAAACAAATTATTTTATTCCATTTATATATAGTATTTGTATTTAATTATAGAAAATTCTTACAAATCTAATTTGCAATCGATTTTTAAATCTACGGAACTAATTATTAAAATAATTTCTCGTTCGATTTTTCCTCGAAACCGAACTGAAGAGATTTATCAATCGTCGGTTGAATAAATTGCGTGACAATCGCGAGTTCGGGCATCAACGGTGACACACAAAGAACACTGGACTTTAGCACCGCGGCTTCGTCTCCTCGCCGTAGTATCTTATCGGTGGATCGGACTCGATGCGAGGTCAAGGCGCGCTATCGTAACCACGCGATCCGTTACGAGTCACCCCGCGGATATACGAGGTCACCCTAGTTCTCCGATCCGGACGTCTTCCTCGACAACGGTAACATACGAGCGCTTCGCACGCCTGATCGAAACTCGCGAGGATACCTCGCGAAAAAATTAATCATTTTCGATATTTCGAGTAAACTGTCGCAATTTCCTCTGTTAAAGCTGATCTACATTCGTACAAACTTAATAACGACGACGAAAAGCGTAAGCAACGCTCCAAGACGGAAGTCGTCGTCCGGAACAGTACAGTACGATTCACCTGTCATTCCCCGGAATTTCCCGGGAAGTTGGGATAATCTCGTGCGCGCGCGATCGTCATCCGGGATCGTTGGTAGACGTCGCCGCCGCTTGGTTATCTTCGACCGTCGACGAAAGCCGACGTAGAATATGAAGGAAATCGTGAGCACCCCTACAGATTCCTTTTCTCTCTCTCTCTCTTCCTCTCTCCCTTTTTCTGTGTCACTCTCTCTCTCTTGCTCATCCGTCTATACATCCGAACAGTCGTCGCTCCATCTCTATCCCGTCTCCTTTCTCTCTATCGAGGTATAGAGAGCCGAAGGGGTGTGCCGGGCGCGCGGGGTGGTTCTTTCCCTCCTGTGACGGAGGAGTTGAGAGTGCCGTTGAATATGCATGAGGGCTCCTATCTACCATCCTAAAAACATTCAGTCGACGCTGAAGCGACCGATGCTCGGACCGACCGTGCGCCTCGTCGCTCGCCAATCAATGTCTCCGACAGGCCCGTCTTGCGAAAATTTCTGCGAGACGATTCCTTGTAACCACGAGCATGGGGAGTGAGAGAAGAGATATAGGTTTCTTCCTCGACCTAACGCTATACCATTGCCCGCAGACGTGCGCTGACATTTTTATTCCGTGGAAGAGAAACCGCGGGGTTCGCTGTATACCTCGGGGAATGTTTATTTCACTGAATTTAGATCGCCATTTTTACCGATGTATCGGTGATTCTTGAATGAATTTTTAACATCGAGGAATTAGATTGAACAAGGCGCTAATGTCACGAAATATTTTATCAATTTCTTTCTTTTCTTTTTTCTTATTCGAACCTATTCATCGTTAAATCTATTTTTCTTTTGCTTCAGGAAAAATATGTCATCGCATATGAGAAATGGACCGCACGAATCATATACGAAGGGTGTCTCGCTTTATCGTGTTTTCTTATCCTGCGGGTACGTATATACATAATATGACAGAAAATCCGGGTAGCAATTATAAATGAAGTCCTGATGTTAAATGAACAATTTGCTAAATAATTATACATCCTTTTCACCCGGAATAAATTTGACATTGGAATCCGTTCGCGCCGCAGATCAGTTTTATCGCGACGATCATCGGCCATAATTATGTTGTAACTGCGCGCATAAATGCCGGCGTGTAAAGTGAAGCGTGTTAAGCGTGACTCGATTATCTTTCGAATCAGACACGGAAGAGACGCAGCGTCTGAAATATATGGCTTTCGATCCCGAAGAACGCGAGCGCGATCTCGGCCCCGCGTGCACGCGCGCGCTACTTAACTACGCGAGAGCGCGTATATACGCAGGAATGCTTAATGCATTCAAATGATATTCACTCTCGCGCCGCTGACGCGAATGCTTTCGACAAATTAACGCCGTGTATCGAATAACTATCTACCGCTGCGTTACACGCGAGAATGCGCATGTGTGAAGTGCACGCGCGCGCGCGCGCGCACGGTTTCTCGAGCATCTTGTAAATCAAACACACGATCGGTAGTTCCGATAACGCCTCCCCGGCGTTTCGCTCGATATAATTCCGCAGAGGAGCATTGATTACACGTATAAACGCGCTCTTCGCGGCATCTAATATTAATTCATACACCGTACGAGTCACGCTGATAACCCTGTCTAGTAACTACTGATAGTAGTATCTGCCAGGGGGTTGCGTAATCGTGTACGTTCATTTCGCGGACACGAAGATAAGAAATCGTTGACTATATACCTGAAAGGTCTTCTCGCCACATCGATAGGTGAATCGAATATGATCCCGTTGCATAATAACCCGAGATTCGACGTTCTCCCTTTCTGCTAGCGCCTGACCTACCTATTACATCGAAAAAAAAGTTTCCTTCTAATATCTGTCAAGTCCGAACGAAACCTGAGCAAAAGCTGACGAACATGGTTCTATCGCCATCTCTCGGTAATGTCAGAAGGCAAGGTAGCCATTTTGTTTCTGGAGGTGGCCAGAAGGTCGCCGTGGTGTCGCGGTACACCCGCGCATGTCCATTGGTCCCTCCTACGTTGTCCTCGCAGCGACGGCTTCTCTTTCGTCTCTCGCCTAAGCGACAACGAGAAACGTACCCCTCTCTACCCCTCTTCTCATCCCTCTACGCGACCAACTCCCCCACTTCGAGTCCGCGACTTCCCCACCTCGGGAAACTCGACCACCTTCCCTTTTGTGCCCGCCGCACCCTCTGGCCGCCGTCGTCGAGGCAGAAACGTCGTTTCCCCCTCGAACCTCTTTCGCATCCTTGCCACCTACACGGCCACTACCATTGTCGTCTTCTCCTCCGAGTTCCCTTCCACCTCCAACGATCCCACCCCTACCATCGTCGCGCGATATTATCACTCCGTTTTACTCGCGATTTATCGGCCTTTATCAACTACATTGCCGCCGAACGGTGTGTATCGTTGCTGCCCGCCTTGGCTGCCACCAACGCGCGATCCCTAAACCCCCATTCTCCACCCGATCCGCGCCAGGTTTCTCTTCGACGCGCCACGACATACCCTCGTAAATCAACGCCGGTGGTTTTGATCGTCGTCGTCCGACTGAAAACCGCAAAATCGAGCGACCGACGCTCCCGCTTTCTCACCGTGTCGTCCGAGAGACGGCTGCGGCGCGTCAAACTCACGCTACGATGATTCTTGTTCATTTTGCACCATGACGCGAATCGGTATTGAACACGCACGCAATGGTTTTACCCCGGAATATCAGGGGAGGTAGAGAGAGAGAGAGAGCCGGTGGATGGTATTTGTATGGAGCTGTTTAATTTCGAGTACTAATTTGCATACTAATAAATACCAAAGTTGGAGCATCATGCTGCGTCGTGAAATATGCGTTATAACTTTGCGCAAATGTATTTATATTTATTACAATATCTTTTTTTAGAATTGATGAGAGAAAATATAAAAAGAAGATAAAGAAATAATATTCGGCAAGGAGAGCTAAACGATTTAAAGCGCGACGGTTCTCGCGCGAGTCTCAATTACGCGAAAGTGATCGGGCCGACCTTCGTCGATTCGTTCCATATACGCAAATGAGATTTTCAACTTACATATATCGATTTTTAAAAAATTTATTCCCCGATAAATCTCGGTCCTTTTTTTTTATTTTTTAAAGAGACAAGTAATGTGCGTTATCGTTAGAAAATGAAAAAAAGAAATGATTATCTCGACATATAAAACTGAATACAATTGATTATCTTAATTAGAAACTCGTAAAGTGGCCAATAACTAGGTTTTCACGCGTCACGTCTTCCCTCGGAGCTACCAGGAGACTTCATAATACGACCTCTATTTAACGCACGCGGCTCCCACGTTCGCGGAGCGATTAGACGTTAGATTCCGACGTTTCTCAGAGTCGCGCATCCGTCCTATCTCGCATCTTATCGGCCGTCTTTGAAGCCGCTTCGCGCATACCACGACGACGTTGAACTTTGCACGAGAGACCGAGCGCGCGCTCGATCCAACCGACTAGAGAGATTTAACGCTAGACCTAACGTGTCTCGATGTCACCGATCGCTCGCCTTATCGGTTCGCCAATCCGATCGCGTACCGGAGATTGAGCGAATCTCTCTCGCGGCACACACTCGGGACTCCATATCCCCAACCGGTCATCCGCCGGTAGTGGAATTCTTTCCCTCTCGTTCCAGCTCGAGAACAAAGCGATCGCCGCGCGACTCCATTTCCCGTCGTCATAGTCGTCGCTTTACATCCTGTTCCCGACTCCGCGATGTGCTCTCTCGCGAGCTCTAACGCGAGAGGGGACCCTGCTCGCACACTTTCGTTTTCGCGCATGTACGTGTACGTATGCGCGTGTTCGCGGTGCAGTTGCTCTTATACATACATATACATACATATGTATATATATATATGTATATAGCATGCATGTATATGGCTGGGTTATATGTATATATATATATATATATATATATATATATATATATATGTTATGTATATATATATACGTATATACATCGGAGGCACCGATGCACGGTAGAGTGCTTTCGAGGCGAGTGCAGTACAGACTCACGCTGCTGCACGGTCTGGTGATTAGCGCCGCCCCTGGGGGATGGCAACCGCCAATCGGTGGATGGCGTCGCGGCGCCCGCCGTCGTCGCGGGAATATCCCCTGCGGGTCTGCACAATCGCGGATATAGCGGATAGCGTCGGGCAAAGCCACGACAAAAATCAATCACTCGCTGCTTCCTCTTGTTCGCGATGCTTCTCCCTCTCGCTCCTCTTTTCGTCCATCCCGTCTCCTATTTCTGTTTCCCTCCGGTTACACGCTCTCTCTCTCTCTCTCTCTCTCTCTCTCCTTCTCCTCCATCGGCTCGCTGTTTGCGCAAACCAAAACAGAGACAGCGTCTCTATATACCGTGCGCTTTTTCCCTCTCGTGCGTTCAACTTTAGTTTACCTGTCATGATATCTCGGTAATCTCAGTCGTCAGATTAGCCTGTGAAGGCTTCCCGAAATCGTAATTAGCGCGAAAGAACGGACAGAGTCGATTGTAGATGGCTAATTGCGATCGTAATAAATTTATACCGCTCAAGATATACCGAGGTAAAAGAGATAAACGCGAGAATCGGTATATTCCGAAAGAAAATACGTGAGAACGGCTTTGTGTCGCGGAACTTGATAATCGCCTGATGTCGAGGTGTCATGTACGAATCCTACCGTCGCGAATCGACCGATTTTTCTCGCGCGATCTTCCCACGTTCTCTCGCATATATCCCGTACACGCGCGTGCGCTCGCATCATTCTTGTTCACGTCGATCCACGTCCTCGTCGAGACGACATGCAAGAACGGGACAAGGACAAGCGCGAGATCCTAGCCGGGCTGACCGACGACCCGCCTTGAATTTCATTCACACACCCGCGAGGTCGAGAGTCTCGCTACTTACGCGGAATACAAAACGATGTTCCCATGGATCGAATGATACTGTCGTGTCAGCCGAAATAAGAGAGATGCCTCCTCTCTCTCTCTCTCTCTCTCGCTTCGAGAGACCTTCCGCGAGGAAAATTTTCAAGCTACTTGTCTTTGGAAAGGAAAAGAGCATTGAATTATAGCTCCAACTTTTAGTAACATTTATACTGTACAATTGACCTCATTTTGCAAACAGCTAATTTCCATTTTGCAAACTTAACTTTTCAGTCACTCAACCAAGTTTCGCGTTAAATCAGCGAATTCTAAAATTATTTCCATAGCTTGCGAATTTTGCCAGAAAGATCATTATCAGCGAAAAGAAATAGATATAATTATTTCATCCTCGAGAAAGATTTGGAATTATCATTCTTCCATTTATAATTCTTTCGTCTTTCCGTTGCATAATCATTAGCCGCAAAACTCCGCTAAATACGAAAGCGATATTTCTTACCGAAACCACTCATTGTCAGTATATCGCTTAGCGAAGCCATCGTCACGTCACGGCGGCGGACGTGGTTATGACATCAAATCGATCCGCGAGCTATCGAGCGGCAAACTCGCTGCGCGCAAGAGAGCTTTTCAAAGAACTTCCGCCGCCATAGTTTCTTTTTTTTTTTTTTTCGTTTCTCAAAGAACCCATAGTTTCTAAAGCCGGTGCGTTACGCGTCGCGCGCGATTTTCATAAATTAAGACCGGAAGGCGTGCGTATACACGCGGCGCGACAGAGCGATCTCGGGAGAAGGGAGACGAACCGAGGAGACAGGGAGAAAGAGAGCTCGAGTGACTGAAAACATCCCATGGCGATAAGAATCTCCCGGCGATTAATTGGTATGACAGCGGCACACGTTAGGCCGCGCAGTGCGCCAGCCGTGACAGCGCGTCCGCGTATCTCGCGCGATATCTCCTTATGACGACGCCCGGTCGACGACTCCTTCGTCTCCTCCCTTGCCGCCCTCTCTGTCCGCGTCTTAGGTTCTCGCGTCTACCTGTGTCGAGAGGGAGAAAAAAAAGACGAAGAAACGAAGGGTGTCTCGAGGAGAAGCGCACCCGAGGGCGCCGATAAAGAGGAGATCGCCCTTGCGGCACGTCGCGATACGAACGCCTGCGGTTCCCACCGGAACTGTAGTTCCGGGAAAAGCCTGTAGAGAGGCCAGCTGCCGGAAGTCGCCGAGAGACGCGAAGCGCCGCGCTTTACCGCGCGAAAGCCCGAGCGAGGTGAAAAGCGCAAGCTCGCCCGTTGCAGGGATCTACTTGCCACCCGGGGGTTCGTATCCCCGATGCCAAACCCTCCCCCGCAGCCCCCTTATGCCCTTTGTCTTTTCGCGTGGGCGCGGATACCCACGTGGTAAAGCAGGAATCTCGGAAAAGCTCGCAGGACCTTATCCTGAGGTCGTATTCTAGGTCTCGACCTTGCGATAACGCGGCCGAATGTTGAGCTTTCCACCGCGACGTCGTTTGATAATGAATTGGAACGGGGTAGGAAATCATTTTTTTTTAATCACGAGTATCAATAAGTACTCCCTAATCTGTGGCTCGTACTAAAGGCTATTGATTTTACGTTAAGAAAAACATTTCAATATTCAGCTATATAAATAAGGATTGCCATCATCTGTTTGTGCATCGAGACAGTTGCATAAAATTTCATTATACTTGAAAGATTTAATGTGTTCAATGTTCAATGTGAGATTGCAATATGAAGAGAAATGTTTTCGAAAAATTGAAACACACCGAACATCGAAGAATAATTGATTCCTTTACAAGATTCGATTGTTATGATTAACAGTCCGTATTGGCGCTGTGCCCGATTGGCCTTTGTATAAAGCCGCGCGCACACGCGACAATGTAAAGTGCAGCTGCAAGAAGCCTCGTCTGGATCTCACCGATTGCCGCTCCGATGTCCGAGGTCAGCCGTGTCGGTTCGTGCTGGCCCCGAAGATCGTTGGTCCACCTGCTCCGAGCGCGCGCGTATGCGGCAAACGTTCACCTGCACTGGGTCCGCGTAGGCCAAACTTACACTTTCACGCGTACGCAGCCGCACACGAGAGCCGACATCCACCTTTTCTTTTTTATTTATAGATATCTCAACATCGACGAAACCAAAAACCTGTTCGATTTTGGAGAGTCGCGCATTCTTATATTTTGTCAACACCGATTTTACTCTAAAAGAATCTGTAACGATCGACTACTTCAAGCTTGAAGTATGGCGATGTCTGCGGCAACCGATCTTATCTAATTACATTGACAAATAATGCGGGAAAAATCCGATTTTTCATAAGATTAAAAAATGTTAAACTTGTTTTTTTCAATTAAACGGATTGTTCAGGGTGGCCGATAATAATTTTTGTCGATACCGCCGGCATATAATTATTCTTTTCCCCTGGTGGATGATCGTAACGAAGGAGAAAGAAGTTTGGTAGCACACCTTGCGCGACAGGTGCCATTCTCTCGTGGAACGCAGGCGTAAGTAACAAGTACCCACGCGCTCGTTCATACGAGTTTCTCTCTCTCTATCTCCGGTTCTATCTCTCTCGCATGATAAACGCGCATCCACGCTCAGTTCCTACTCTCTTGCGTATTATATACCCTACCGGTCGTCGTCGTCCTCGCGCTCGTGGTTGTTGGGCTATATCGTATCGGTGCGCGCACTGGCCGTGTCCGGTAGACGCTATCGTCGGTGCTTAAAAATATGTTAGCGGCCGGCGTATAAGCACCGTGACCTCCGTGATACGATCTAAAGAGCCCAGGGGCCTGCTGGGACAGCGCGTCAGATGCTCTTGCGACGGGGTGGTTCACCGAGGGTGACACGGGGAGAGAGAAAGAGGAGAGAAGGACCGTGACTGTAACCGTCACGCCGTCACCGTCGTCGAGAGTCACCGGAAAAAGGCTGAAACGAAAGGCTGACCTATCTGATGGGACACCCGGCTCGTGCACATGCTCGGACATCGCGATAGAAATTAAGGTGAATACGTGGGACTTTATAGACTCTTAATTGATCTTTCGTGTAGCTTGTCGATATCATCAATTTATATTTTAAATATCCGTTTAAATACGTCGCTGTATTTAAAGATGAAAAGATATTAGAAGCTTATTAATCTTAAAATTAATTTCTTTCTCGCTGCTCGAAACACAAATGACGAGAAGATGCCGAAGGCGGTTCCATTAATAACGTCGAGGCACAGGAGCTCTTTGTTTAACCGCGCTTGTCATTTGAGCCCGCGGCGTGTTAGCTTCTGGGAGGAAGTAAGAAATTGATAGAGCCTCTGTGTGTATCGGGTGAGAGATCCGGTGAGGAGGAAGTAGACGATAATCTCGTCCGCGACACGAGGAGGAGATGCGGCAGTCAGAGGTGAGGAGAAAAGAGGTCGCGTCATTGCTGGCCATGGCTCGTGATCGATGGCGCTGGGCGTTATCTTCGCCACCCCCTCTTGTTCCCGCGGTAATTCATCATCTCGGTCTGTTTTTCACTTACTTTATATGCAACATATTCCGTAATTTTTATTCAGTCAACCAGTCGCCGTCGCCGGTGCCAGCCATCTCCATACAGAGAGAACCCCGCCTCATAAAATAGCGAGCCGGGCTTCGGTGGACCATCATCTCCGCGAGTCGTGAAGGATACAGCCGACTTGCTGAGGAAGCAGACGGGACGACTAACGTTCCCCTCGATCCAAAGTAACTCCGACGGACGGAAGTCCGAGGGGTTACGCAAGCTTGCACTCTATATGCTAAGGAATTTCGATATGGAGATCTATCCCCGGGACCGGTCAGTTTGATTTATTGGCTCGAAATCGGCCGCGCTAAATTTCGGGGAAAATATGCTGTCTCTTCTCCCCAACCGGTCTCGGCACCGATCGCGCCGTGTCCTCTGACCGGGCTTTCCCGCTCGGTGTTATTTCCATAAAATGAATTATTAGACTCTCAGATATATCCGGGAGAACGCGCGGGATGCGCCAGGCTCTGTCCTCCGGCATAGTTTGACAGAAATCTCGGGGTGAATTTATGTCGCCCCTAAGACAATCTCGCGAGAGTGGAAAGGTACTCGTATTTTAACTTCTCCTTCGCAAAATTTATGAACTCGAAACGTATATGAGAAAATTTTAATTACATCCAAATATACTCCACTGTATAAAAATATCTATCGCGTCGATTCATATTAAGTAGCTTTAGCGAGAAATATCACGTACTATATTATACTGCCGATTATCAGGGATCGAAACGCGTTGAAACATCAAGCATATTCGGTAAAGCAGTCCAAGCAGTCGGTCACTGACAGATATCTCTTTCGGCGATAGTATAGAAGCCCTAAAGTGAGTCTAAGCGCTAAGTAAATCGTAGGGTCGGGCATACAGAAGACGAGTGGCGAGAAGATGAGAAACGCTGGATGCCAAAGATCGAGGATAGGGAAAAGGTGAACCGTAGTAGTAAGGGTGGCAGGAACGAGAGGAATGGGACGGGCAGAAGGCGTGAGAGTGCGAGCAGAGGAGGTTGAGGTGCTTTCGAGACTCGAGAGTCGCGCGAAATCTGCATTTCAGCCTTCTATCCTTCCGTTTCCACCACCATCCCCTAGCTACGGACTCGCTCGAAGCCGAGAGCTTTCGAACGGCTCGCAAACACTCCGCGCCGCGAGAAAGCTTCCATAGCTGTTTGCACGAGGGTGTGTGTGTGTATGTGCGTATACAATTGTAGACGCGCTATAAAGACTCCCCGGTAAGCCTCGCACCTCTGTCATCCTCCTACTTTTGCTTTCGTTCCGGTATTTGCCTTGCGAGAGAGCGCAACGCGAGCCTTTTATTCGGCAGATCAGCATTTTGCAAAAGATATACACAAGGGGAAAGATCCTTAAACAAAACTGATTGTCAAAGATATATTGGATAAAATGGAAAAGTTTTCTCTAAATTTCAAAATCTTCAACAAATGACAAAGAATTTACGATTAATTAGATATTAGAGATATATAATTCCTCGCATTATCTGAAACTTTGTACAACGATCGCAATAATTGACGTGGAAGACTGTAGGGATGAGGAATGAAAAATTGTTTACCGCGCTCTCTCGGGCAACCGGAAAGGGTGCGAGAGAGTCTCGGGAGAAAGATGGTGAAGAGACGGGCCGGTAGGAAGAGGCAAAGGCGACGGGTAATTAATCCGCGGTTTTTCTCGTCTAATTAGTTGGATTTATTCCGTTGGTCCCCTTATCCACAGACTCTCTCCTCCTTCGCTCGCCCGCGTCGCGCTCGCACCAACTGTAGCTAGATAGGTTGATGTATGGAAATGTATGCGGGGAGACGGAGGCTCGCATTTTTCCAGGCACGGTGCGCCTTCATTTCCACCGCAGCTTGCTCCCGCACCCCTCTCCCGCAACCCTCACCCCCGTTCGGCTTACGGCCCCGTATATCCAACACCCCCTTAATGACGCGTCTACTCGTTAAATTCGTGTCAGGCCACCGCGCTGCTTCTCGAATCCGCGCGAGATCCCGCGTACTTAAGGACGAATCCGCTTCCACCTTAGCGGGGATTTTCACTTTCCACCCGTGAAAACCTTTTCCTCCGTCCTCGCTTGATCTTTCGCGCTGATCCTCGCTAAGCTCGTCGAGATCTCGGAACTTGGTCTCTTGCGTTAACGTTCCGCGCGGAATTACTTTGTTCGATTTCGCAAATTGGAATTAATGCGCGACTCTAACAAAAAAGTTTGAGACATCGATATTTATATTAATAAATCGTATTCAAAGTCAATGTATAAACGATGTAAATCTTAATATCATATTTATTCTCAATGTATTAACAATGTAAAATGTTTCAATGTTATATCTAGGAAAAAAGGAAAGCTGCGAAAAAAGCTGAGCACAAGAATAGCATTCAACAAAGGCGGCAAGACAAAAGAATCGCGTTACCATGCCTTACGGGCACAATGTCCGGTGAAGATGACGACTCGAGGACATCCGGTGTTCTGAAAACGAATACGGAATGCAGCATGTACGGTACAAAAGCGGATTGTTCGAAAAACAAACACGCGCTTTAAATAACGTTCGCTAAAATATCATTCGAGATATTGAGTTGAAAACAACACACAACATTGTCTTGTCGCGATAATTGAAAAGTAATACCTACATAGATAAAAAAAAGTATGCAATATGTATGCGCAATGATGAATTATGCATGCGACCGCTGTCCACAATAATTGTTGCACATTATTATAATAAGATTATTTAAGGCCGAGATAAAAACATTTAGTACGAAGACATCAATTTCGCGATAGCATGCTTCTTTTCTACTCTAAAAATAGCTCGAAATATTTTATTTATGAATACATATACAATCTCGAAAAAATTATTCTCCATCAATAATTTCCAATCTATCAAATTGCGAATATAAAGTATTGATTTCATTTCGTAACAAAACCTTCGATTTAAAAAAATAAAAAATCACTGAACAAGAATGATAAGAAACATTTTCAATCGATCCTTCTGTAATCAGTTATTCAAGAAAGGGACGTGTATCTCTAATAATCTGGAAAGGCAACACAGGGAATAGCGGCCGTTCTCCATCTTCAACGTCGGCCATCGAGGACGACATTGCGACAGGCAGCGGTAGAGACGGTTTGCGGCGAGTTACATTTCCCGGCGCAGCCGAAGCGTTTCGACCAGTAAAAGCTCTCGCGTGAACGTGGAGTCGCGCGATACGGCGGTATACACGCGGAACGCACGCACACGCTCGGCCGGCGAACACTCGCGTGTTGTGTGCGCCATAGTTACCTACCTACACACCGGATAGTCACAAAGGAACGAGAGAGAGAGAGAGAGAGAAAATCGCAACGGGTTACGAGGAAGCCAGAAACGCGCGGCGTACCCGCGGCGATGCCCAGGCACGTACCTGGTAAGTAGTAGGTACGTAATGGGTATAGCAGGCAGTAGGTGGCAAGGCTGCGTGACGAGGCGATTGCGGACCGTGACTAAAATATTTAAAAATATGTATCTTTCTGACCGTCCAGTTTCAGTCCCCGGCTCGGACCCTCTCCTCCCCTTCGCCCACGCCGCTCCCAAGCTCGCCGCTCGCGCTCTCTGCGCCGCGCTATATTTATTTCGCGTTTCCTTCCTGCCGCACCGGCCTCGCTCGAAGGGTTGCTTGCTAGCCTTCCCTCTTTCCCTCCCTTCCCCTGTGCGTGTGTGTGTATGTGCGCTGATATTCCATCGCCTTTCCTCTCCACCCTATCCCGAAGCTTACGCAACGCGCGAGCACTTCGCGTTCGTTCCTCAGCAAACTGTAGTCATTCGCCAAGATGATCTGGGAGATAATTTGGTGCGATGGAAACCCATTTACGGAATATAATTACTGATCGTCGGACTGTTATTAGACCATCTGTCATTTAAAATTAGAACTGTCGTTATACGTGTTCGTACGCTGTGTTATTTTGGAATTTTTAATTTTGTTCAAGAATCTAACTTTGAGTGACAATTAATTTATTTTTCTTTTGTGTCAACAGTGCTGTAATTACCACTTTTATTCGAGTAATTTATGAACATTAAACATAGGGGCAAACGTTATCAATAATCGCTGCTGATGACTATAATATAACTATCATTTATCAAAGAATCATGTCATTAATAAAGCGTAGACATTTTTCTCACTAGCGTAAATTTACGTCAATAATACTTAACACTTTCGTAGACTTATTACTGCCATTCAATTGCCTTAATATCTAATCTATTTTTATTCACGTGACAATCACGCAACCTTATATAAGTATATTATTAAAATAAAACAAAGTTTCTATAATGTAATGTGCGAATTTTTTTGTGTCTTTTTTTTCTTTTCCTTAAGAGGAATTTTTTCTGTCAATGTTATATCTTGTGCGAAAACGATTATTATACAGTATTATATTATATATAATTTTATTTAACTTTAAGATGAAATTTCATCGCTAAATAATCTATTTGCAGCACTATTGCATTAAATCATCGAAGCAGGTGAGAGCAGAAGAGCATGTGCATTCGCAATTGTGCATTCGAGACTATTGCACCCGCTAATCGCGCGCGAATGCAACGTGCACTCCAACAATAAAATCTAACATTATCTGATATCCGAAGCGCCTTTATACCAACTATTCTCTTGAGGGATTATCGAATGCCGTAAGTAAACGAGCAGGTGGACCGGTATATGATGACGCAGGTATACAATAGCATTTGCTGCTGCAAACCGAGTATAATTCGAGAATTTATTCCATCGCTCGCGTCTTACAATTGCGACTTCCCGCATCTTCGAATGCATTATGCAAAAGTCTCTAGGCTCTGTAAGTAATGTTGCAAACAACCCGAAATTATCCACGCGAATATTATTTGGTGCCGATTACTCAGTTACATCAGACATATCTGATCGATTATTCGACCCCTATCATACGTCAATTACGTTGCAGTTAGGCGTAAGTGAGAGAGTAGGAGGGTAGGAGTATATCGCACAATACACAATCGTAATTGTAATCGCAAATTAGTCTGTCCATATGGGAATGTCGAATAACTTTAACGATTTTTTCGGGTCCCTATATACCGGATGGCCGGGTGCGAAATGTCAGCAAACAGTCGTGCCCGGTTTCCGTTCGTAATTCTGTCTTTATTTTCCTTTGAAAAAGGAAGACTTGGAACGCAACACGCAGTCCGTAAAGCGCGATACGGCAAGATGCATACTAATTCGAACGATTTTCGAAAACGTCACAGAAGCCTCTTCCGCCAACCTGCTTGACCTTTCGAAGCACGCGGTTCTATTTCGACGACTATCCTGTGTACAATTAAATTTTTGCATAAGTCGAAAGTTGATGCGACGTAGCAGATGTCAATAAATTCCTTGACGTATTGTGGTATGTAAAAATGTTGCACGGTGTATGCATAATATAGAATATTATGAATTTATCGAAAGACACTGAATCATCGAAAAAAAATCTGTACATCTTATAACATTTTTACTTTAATATACGCAATTTTCATCTTTTTTTATATAAGTAGAATTAAATGATTCAATTACTTAATATAACATTTAACAAATTAGAACCAATATTATAAAGATAATTGAATTTTCAATACGAAAAGAGCAAAGAAGCCTACACACATACATACATACACACACACACATCGCCCTTTAATAAATGAGTTATAAAATAAATATCTCGACGTAACGCCCTGTTTCTCCGACAATTAAGCTCCATAAAACACTAAACCGTAGGATACCCGAGCGTTTCGGCCACCAATGAATATTTTTATTTAATGTCCCATTAGTGTTCTAGCCCGCCCCTGAAACTCACCGGGAATAATTGTTCAGAATGCTGCTGGTGTTTCAGGGAAACACCCATAAAGTCACAAGAAAGCAATCTCTTTTAACGAGCTGCGGAATTCCACGGATTTAATCGTCCCATTGAGAAATAATTTTATAATTCCGATATATTTTTACACGCGTTTATTGTCCATTTTTATAATTGGGGAATATTTTTCACTCATAAATGCTCATCTCATATATCTTTCTTGATTTGTTCCAATATGTTTGATAATTCATTATCCACGCTTCAAGAACATTAATAGTTTTTACGAAAACCAAGTAATCGATACCGCAACGTTCAAGATCAATATTCGGAATACTTCGGAAAGTTTTTAAAAGATTTAAGATCGCGATAAATAATATCGATAAATTACGATAATTAAGCTTCTCTTTTTTGCTCGTGCAGATTTCTCTCTCACGCGAGTAGCGACGAACAATTAAGTGTCAAAAATTCATCGCGCCATCGCGGCGACCGCCTTCGGCTCTTTAGATAAAGAGGTACGCGATATCGAGTAACGATGAGAGAATTTCAAGTTGCAAGACGGCTTTGCGTACGGGACCAGGGGAGGGGAGGAGGGGAGGAAGAAACGGGGGCCATCTCCGGTGGCGTAGCGGGTAGCGGTAGCAGTTAGCGCCAAAATAAAATAAGGATGGTACAAAATGAAAGGCAGGAAAAATAAGTCGGCCCTTATCTCGTCCTCGTCCCGTTCCGTTTGGCCCATGCATATTCAGGAGCTTCGCTCTCCCTCTCTCTCTCTCCCGCAATCTCGCTTCCTTCTCTCTCTCTCTCTCTTTCCTCGTAGATTCAACGAACCATCCCCCTTGGTTCTCGTGGTTGGTGCCACTGGCTCGTACCACGACGGACTCTATACTTACCTACGTCCGCCACCCGCTAATTTCTAGGCTTCCTTCTTTAATTGCACCGGTGCGATAATAAGACCGTATATATGCTCGTGTGTGTGTGTGTTTGTATGGGTTTTATATGAGGGAACGTGCGAGCGACTGTGTAAAGTAGGTACAACGGGGTACCGTGTAACGAGGTAACACCCATTCTTACACCCTCGACCATCGAGATAATCTTTATTGTCCCGATGCCTGACGAGACGTCATCGGTTGTTTCGGATATGTGAGAAGATGAAGGGATCTTTGTATCTTTGATACGGGATGAATAAGAAATATAACTATAAAGAAACCAGTTTTAAATTCGTTTCCGGCTTAAAAAGATCATCCTCGACAACATCTGCGGCAGTTAGTCATTCTTGAAAAAAAAAAAAAAAATTAATGATTAACACGTCTCTAGTTGCGTAGGACGTGTGACGTGTGTAGGATTGTTCTCTTGAGAATATAATTTGTGTTCAACGTAATCTCACAATCAGTCATAAACTCGTACTTTATCTGTTATAGCGATATTACACAATGGTCCCTATAACCGTGAAGAACAATCGATGAATGATGCTACAAGAGCTCGCGCCTATGATCAAAAATGATTCAGCTACATGAGAAGACGTTTTTAATCGGAATATATAAAGAATTGGCGGTATTGTCGATTCGCTAAAAATCGGAACGTCAAATAACTCTCGAACGAAGAGAGCGCGATGCGATAGACGCTCATTTGACATGCACGTCGCATATGTTTTAGTGGAATAAGGTCACAAGACAGACCGGCCCGAGGCTCTTCTTCAAGTATGGTATCATCGAGCATCAGACCGACACAATGGCGCGGCGATGTCTCTCGGAATGGAACGGAACGCCGACGACGGATTTCGTATTGTCTGCAAGCGGGACGCGATGGCGTGTCACGCGTCTTATCGCATTCTTATAACGCGCGTGACACGCACGACGGTACCTACCTACTTACTTTATACCGGCGGCCTTACGTTCGCTTTACGTCGCCCGTGGTGATCGGCCACGGTCCATTATGGCCGTGGAAAACGGACCATCGATCGACAGCTGTACGCCGGGCTACCTGCACGCCGAGGATGGATGGCTTCATTAAGAGAGAGGCATTAGCGAACGGATCGTTCTTTGGCGGACGGTGAATTTGGCGCACCGCAGTAATTTTCGATTACGACGCGCGAGAAAAAGAGTGAAGAAAATAACTCTGTTCCTCGCAGTTATATATCTTCTCACGCCTTTTGTATTTAAGGTGAAATAGCGTATGTTCAGTATCATGTTAAGTGGAAACACTAATTCTGTAGAAAGATATTTCAAAAAAATTGATAATAAATATAAAGTTAATAACATAGCTATTTATTTATATTAAGTTTTAATATAAAAATACGTACATGTGTTAATGCGAAGAGAAGAAGAGAGACGATTGCGGTTTTTACTTTGTATTTAATTAAATGTAAGAAGACTTGAAAATAAAATCGTGCAAGGGCGAACACAGATTCTCTGTGGGAAGACAGCTCTCGTTTCGTGGGAATCGAGTGCCGGCTATTAACAGCTTCATTAAGAAAAGGTCTGCGAGAACGCGGCGTGGCAAATGCGTACCAGTTATAAAAGTCTATTTACGCCTCCACGGTGTAAATCAAGCATTTTGACTACGGCCAATCATCAGCTTCCCGTGGAAATTCTCGATCCCGTTAGAGGCCAACGACGCCGTAAAGGTGCACGGTCTGCGATTTACATAGGCTGATTTTATTGTACCAATAATATCCGATTGGCACGAGAGCAACCTTATACATTAAATATTTCCCCAAAAAATGTTTTTTAAAACTTCATTATAGATTATATATTTAAGAAAAAAAATAAAAATTAATCTTCGTTTCTTATTTTAATATATCGCAATAGTCGATTATATTTTTTTATATACCTATAAAAAGGTCCATCGTAAAACGCGATTCTTGCTATAGTAGTATGAGTGATAAAAAGACTAACAAGCCAATCGCTAGAGTAAAAGACTCTTAAATAATTTTAAGGTATTAGTTATTGGTTTAAAATGATTATTAAACTATAATATCTAAAATTATGTAGACATCTCTCACTCGCGTCTTTATCTCGCGATTGGCTCTTTAGCATTTTTTATCACTCATATTGACATAGTTAGAGTCTACTCTTCGATCGATCGAGTATCGTGTTTGTGCGAAACGTAAATAACGACGACAAGAGCGACGATAGGTCTCGAATTCGTCGCGAACGCTGGAAGTTCAACGCGTGGAAGTTTTTGGTCCCGTTAAGCGCCGGCTTCGTCAAGGATGCGGGAAACGGTAAAACTTTGAAGTCAGATCGATTTAAGGCACCACGAGTCCGCGGCCGAGTGTCGCGATCGGGCCGATTGTCAAACGACGTTTGTCGTCGCGTCGCGTCGCAGCGAGGCAGAGCTCGTGAAAAGATGGGCGCGGCGTACCGACATTCCTCCTCGAAGAGCTCCGATGGCATTGTTCCATCGCGTCGCACCTCGATCACGCCTCTGTCACGTGGCCCACAATTCACAGGACGTGACTCCCCGAACACCTCTTAAGGTGTCTCTCTCCTCGACGATCGCTGTTCGCCATAAGCGCGTACACCGTCATCCGCTCTGTCACCGACGCCGGCCATTATTTATTTATTTTCTTTTTTTTTTTCGTCTGTCGTCTCTCTTGTAATGTCACGTTGCGCCAAAGTAACTGCATAATTTCGTCGAGATATATCGGCAACAAATACCCGACCCGTCGCGACAATCGAGAGAACGTCTTTGCTCGACTATTAGCGCCGACTAATTTCATGTAAACGAGAAGAGAGCATCGGCATGTGAATATTATTACGGTCGAGAGAAACTTAACCCAATAGAAGTCGTGGTATTTTTGCACATCGTGTTTAAGCACATATCTGAACCGGAACGAGATTATCTATATATTATCAGTGTACTTGTACTTCTCCACTTATGAAATATTTATGAAAATAATAATATTATTAATTAAATTTCCATTATAATGGCCAATTTGATATTTCAGACATCGCGATATCAGAAGAATACTGTTCTTTCAAGTATATGCGACACGAGAGTCGAAAGAGAGATTTCAATGTATATAAAAATGAATAAAATATCTTATTATCCGCGTAAAAAGATGTGTCGAAGCTTGAAGATCAGATCCTTATTCCTCGTCGTACTATATACACCATCATAACTCACGCATCAAACAGAGTGAACTACCGTGATACGAAACGCGGCTTACTTAATCGTTCGCCCGCTGATTCGCTCACCTGCCGCTCATTAGAAGCCTTATCGCTAATTAATCCATACAACAACGGCGTTACGGCTCTCGTGTCGTTCGTTGCCTCGCTTCTCCATCCGCCTCCTGTCCCTCCCCGCTCCACCCCTCCCCCCTTTCTCCCTCTTTTCATGCAATTATGAGCATACTTCCTGGACTCGTCACCCTACTCGTCGTTGTACAATGTTGAAACTGTTCAGGGTGTGAGCGACAATTATGCGGTTTCTCGTCTCAATACAAGATATTAATGAGTCTGCGAGAGGGGTTGCCGGAAGTTTTATCGCAAATCTTTCCGGTTCAGGTCAGAACCGTCGCCAACAAAGAGATACGCAAGGTTTCAGATCTTTCTGCGCGATATTTCTGGGACAGATTCTGCGAACAGTTTGACGCGCAATGTCCCGTACAAAATTGCAAACATACTAACGATTTTTCAGATTTAAGCGATTCGATTACATAAACCTGCATTCGATTTTATTTCATTATTATAAATTGTACTTATTATTACAATATGTTTAACTTCAGAAATAAACTCTACTTTGACATACAAAGTTATACCTATGCAGCAAAAATATTTGAAAGCGCGAGCAGGTTTCTTTGTTGAACTTTTTGCGTGCTTAAATTTCTTTTCACCCGAATTGCGCTCAACTCTATACGAACCCTTCGACAGTATCACGTGTTTCTGCCCGAATGCAGGCAGTTCACCCGCCTCTCAATCTCTTCCCTTCGATCGCGTCGACGTTTACAGTAATGTATGCAGTCCAATGTGTCAAGAGCGCGCTGCTCGGATGGCTGGCGGCGTTTATCCGCGGTGTTGTTAAGTCATTTAAATCCACAGTTACGCGACAGCTGGCGTAGGTCAGTATCATTATCTCGCGAGAGAGGAACGAGAGTGAAACGGCGAATCGGTAGACGGACGTACGGGACATTAATAAACATGAAGAGGCGAACGCGAGTCGACTCGGCCTCCTCCTTTTCTTCTTCGAGACTCTTTCCCGTTTTACAGACAGAATTGATCGGATTTCTACAAAGCGGTAGGTACCATTGCCACAGAATCCTCTTCGCCGAGATATAAATACGATCGAACGCATCTCTTTCGCGTCGTTAATTCGCGAAACTTTAAATCTAGTTTTCGTTACCGCAACTTTGTTTCTTAGCACAAACTACAGGTAACAGTGAAGAAAGAAGTAAGCGAAACTACCATCGGGCATCAAAGGCGAAAGCGAGCGTCAATTTCATTCGGCAAATTTGATCGACGACTTTAAATTAAATTGCAAGAAAATTCCAAAAATCGACATTATTCGTTAACCGAATGATAATACGTACGGACTAAAAAAAAGATTATCTTTCGAAAAATATACCTATCACCAAAAAACCGCTATATAAAAGCGAGAGGGATAATCATTGTCAAGTTGCGCTTTTTACTCACAACGTCCGATGTTTAATATCTCGAAAGTAATCACATCATCTCTGGAATGTCGTACGTAAATTTAAATTGAGCGAGATGCTCGCATGCAGAGAACGAAATCGCAAGAAGGACAGAAAGAGAACACCCACCGTCTCTATACCGGTATGCGCGTGCAAAGAGCCGGCAACTTGTTAATTATTAATCAGCATGTTTAATTCATATTGCGCGCGCCAGCTGTTTGTTTCCTTGATGCGCGGTAAGGTCTTCGCTACTTACTTATGGCAACGTTTAAACGTTACCGCGGGTAAGCATTGCGCTCCGGGTGCTTAGGAATTCTCTCCTCTCTCTCTCTCTCTCTTGCCTCTCGCTCTCCCGTTTACGCTCCCGCACCTGCGACTTTTTCTTTTGTCTTTTCCTCACCTTCCCGCGTCTCTCTTTCACCGAAGGAAGTCTCACGGTGTTGCATACCGTACATGCACGCTGCAACGTGCACTCGCAAGGTCGTCTTCGTCGACATTACCGATGTACGACACACCTGATCGGATCCCTCTTATCGGGAATGTTTTATCGCCTAAACCTATAGAATTTTAATTTCTGAATTCGTGCGAAACTACTTCTCAAGACATAAAAACTTTAATTTGCAAAAAATTGACGGCATCGAAGCTAATGATTTTTGTGGCTCGATCAGTTCGTCTGATCAAGTTTCGTTCTATTTTCCTTCGCATCTTTTGAAGTGGGATAAAGTAAATGTAATAAGGACACCTCGCGAAGCGAATAGGAATTACCGAGATAATGAGGCGCTTGGCGCTCCTGAAAATGATTCCACGATCGATGTGTATCGCCGCGTGTGCACGGCATTTTATGTATTACTCCGGGAGGGTTGGACCTTCTCGTCTGTGTCTTTCGCCCCGCGGACGGTTCTTTTTCTCAACGCACAACACGGGGGTGTTTATGGGTTTATTATACGACCGATCCCGGCCACGCATACACGCATATAGGATATGCGTATACACGTCCGGCGTATGATTCCGCCGGGTGTGTCGGAGAGAGACTTTCGTCCGTTGCGGATCGGACGCGTGCGAGAGATCCTTTCCCTCTAGGAGCGTCTATCTCCCGCGCGTGCGGGATCATAAAAAAATATCCGAGTGGAGTGAAAATAAATCTAACCTTGGGGCGCCGAGACCAACCCGACCGACCGGTCGCTCCCTTAACGCGAGGTAATAGAAACGAATGGCCGCGCGCGTGCGAAAAGTACGCGGAGAAAAGTACGATATATATATACGTGGAAAAAAGCGACTTCCCCGACGACGTCGCGACGGAGTTTCTTACTCTATTCACTTTGTAACGCCTCGTTAGCTCGGCGATATTCCGCGCATATCGCGCTCGTTTAATGCGCACGTGAGGCCGCGTCAAGGCGTTTAAGCAAAGGTACTTTGAAGGTAAAAGTATGTTAGTCATGTCAGGCGTATAAGCGTATATGAAAATACAAAGTAAACTATATTCTCCGTTCTATTTCTTAAGCAAGATTTAAGATAATGCGTTAAAAAGACGGAGAAAAATGATATAGAAATATATATAATTTTCTATGTGAAATAATTTATAGTTCCTAAACGATATGCAAAAACACTTCCTAAATTTAACCGTTAA